CACCACATTGTAATGGAGCATCTAGTGTATGAGCGTTGTATCAAATCAGCTCTACATATGCATATATGAACGAACGTTGTATAGACAATAAGCGTTTCGTGGATATTTTTACATACTTGTACCTATTGAATTTTGTTGGATGGATATGGATATATATTTGGCGTCTTGGTGGGGTATTGAAACTGCTTGAAGGAGGATCAAAATCCTAGCCCCACTCTCCGAGTGGGCGCTTAGCGGACCTGGTTTCATTTAAGAAGGCTATAAAAAGCAAGAGATCAAACAACAACTGTGAGTACCCGAAGCTAGGAGCAACGGACTTGCTCCATTCCCATATTCCTTTGTTCCTACATATCAACAACAACATCCTCTAATCAATTTCATTGACTCTCAGAGAGCCCGAAGTAGCATCACGCCTGCCTGCCTCGACGCACGTGAACGAAGAATCCCCCAATTCTCGACGGAAACCGCGGTACATATGCATGTCTATATACTATATCACGTAGCAGCTCGCAAGTAGCTGGGAGTGTTACATACGTTCGCCTACCGTACGTACGTTCCGCCTACCTTTTCCGACATTTTCTCCCACGCAAAACTACGCCAACCAAAACGAACGCTGTTTCGGGGTGAGTTTTCGCCCCCCCCGCCCCCCCACGGTGTGGAAAAACGAGTATGCGCCAAGTAGATGGAGGGAAGGAGTGGTTGTGAACTTGTTTAAGAAAGGAGACAAGACTGACCCAGGAAACTACAGGGGTATCACACTGTTGAACACAGTAGGAAAAAGTGTTTTGTAAGTTGCTGAACGATACATTGTAGGATGATAGTGGGAGTATTGGAGAAGGAACATAGCATTAGTGAGAGCCAGGCAGGTCGCCGAAAGAAAAGGAGTCGTGTAGACCACGCATTCACGGTAGGGATAATCATCCCAGGTAGAAAGAGGGCGGGAAAGCCGACGCTGCTTCTTCCTAGACGTGAAAAAGGCATACGATACCGTATGGAGAAATGTGTTGTGGAAACAACGGTCCAAGTACGGGATCAAGGGGAAAATGTGGAGAGTGCTGAAGAAGATGACAGAGTGTACGAAAAGCGCGGTCATACTAGACGGAGAACTGTCTAAGTTCTTCGACATTGAGCAGGGGGTCCCACAAGGTTGCACGCTGTCCCCAACATTGTTCCAGGTGTTCATCAACGATCTGTTGGAAGCCGTAGAGGCAGTCCGGAAGGGAGTAAAAGAAGGGGACACGGAAACTTCGGTGTCAGGAATGCTGTTTGCGGATGATTTTGTTGGTATGTCGGACACCCCTGAGGGACTGCAACTACAAATTGACGCGGCGAAGAAGTTTACTGATAGATGGAGATTGTCTGCCAACGTTAAGAAGAGTGCCGTCATGGTGTGCAACGAGGTCTGGGAGGAACCAGTAGAACATAGATGGAGGTGGGGGATCGAGGAGATTGCAGTAGTGGACCAGTACACATACGTACCTCGGAGTAGAGATCGCGAACGACTGCTCGTGGAATGCACACATGTCCAAGGTAGCGGAAAAGGGCAAAGCACGAGCAGGGAAGCTGCACCCAATACTCGCAAACCGGCACCTCGATACACGCATCAAATTGGCGGTTTTGAAGAGCGTAATCGTACCGCCGCTAGAGTGCGCCGGAGAAGTATGGGAAGGAAATAAGAAGGTAGTGAAAAAACTCGAGGCGGCGCAGATGAAAGCAGCGAAAATCATCCTAGGATGCTCCAAGCGCACAAATAATACAGCCGTCAGGGCAGAATTGGGGATCCATTCCCTACGGTCGGGAAGAGACGCAAGGAAGCTGACATGGCAGTATCGCATGTGCGGGATAGGAGAGGAGAGGTTGCCGAGAATAGTATGGGAGGCGAAGTGGGCAAACAAAAAGAGGGGTAGACAACCCACGGAGTGGGTCAAGGTTGTAGAGGACGTATGGAGGGGGTTCGACATCGACGAAGATGAAACGCTGGAAAAGGAGACTCTACAGGGGTTCAAGTACAAGAGATCTGTTGCTTGTGCCGAGAGAGAAGAACAGAATCTAAGGAAAGAAGCCAAGGATAAGGAGGGTCTAGACTAGAAGTGTACGGAATGTTGAAAGAAGGAATAGGGTTCAAGGATTACCTACATGAACCAATGGATGCAGGGACAAAGCTTTAAGGTCAAATTCAGGACCGGGGACGTAGGTCTTCAAGAACTTCGACGAAGACATAGGACGGTAGACGACGAAGACGACAAGTTCAAATGTGATTGCGGCTTCGAATGCGAAGACCGTGTTCATGTAGTCGCGGAATGTCCGTGGTACGAAGAGGAGAGGGAAGTGTACAAGCCTGAGCTGGGAAAAATGCAAGAGACGTACAGGGAGATGTTTGAGGCATGGAATAGAGAGGAGAGGACGGTAGCTGTTCTGGGGAATAGGAAGTGGTTTGAAAAGGCGGGAAGTGATATCGTTAGGATGGACAGACTAGGCAAGACACTTTTGAGCCACCTTTGGCAAAGTAGGAAGGAACGATTGGCTATCGGTGATCGGTCCTGTGGGAACAATGCTCCGTCCTCTCGTGGACGCGTGGTCAATGATCTAACTCCCTAACGCATGCGAAACATAAGAGTAACCCCCCCCCCCCTTCGAACATACGTCCTGCAAAGCCCTTCTCCTCTTTCTTCTCCTCCTCCGCTTCCCCCTCGTCCTTCTCCTCTTCGTCCCCTCCTCGCCGTGTTCTCCTCCTTACCCCAACCCGCACCCTCCCCCCCCTCCCTCTTCCTCACACTGACTGCCCTCTCCGCTCTTCGCTAGACTCCGGTCGTCTGTCTAAACTTACTTACTGCGCCCAAGAAGGTGGGTAGACTAGTCTTTCCATACGTATACTTACCTTTCTTTTTGGTGATAATTTGATGAGAATACAGAATGAACGCGCCTGCACTTGAAAACCCCTTACCTTGTGCATAGTTTCCGCCGAGGCTGGGGTTCTTAGGAACTGGTCATGCTACGAATGGTGTCGCGAACTAGGTCTTTGGTGTAGGGGTTTAACCGAGCTCACAACTAAGTGTGTGCTCAATCTTCTTGCTCCATCAAGTTGTTCAATTTCGTTTTTTGGAGGCTCAATTTCCTGACTCACTCCTGGGTTCTCAGACTTGATAAGTGCGGGCGCGTTCTGTATTCTACTTACTTGTTGTGTTGTTGTGGATCTAGCGAGCAGTGAGGGTGCGGCGTAAATTCATAAATATTTCAGATATATTTCCATCCCTGGTAAGACTTTTATCTTACACCTTACCATCGCAATGAAACACACACACACACGTGACACCAACGCTACGCACTCATACCCATCCTTCGCGAGGTACAGACCACACTACAATTGTATTCACAGAACGGTGTGTACTGTACCACGCACGGATATATATACGCCTCCAAATGTGCCCTCTGGAACGTACAATGTGACGATCAAGAACGAACGTTGAGACTTCAAATGTACACATACTACATGCACCGTAAGTAGCCATCATCCGGTCTGGGCGGCCTCCGGCGCCGTCTCGGCTTTAAAATTCGTCAAGCCCTCCGTTTCACACTCCCTCTTGGTGCTCAACACGGTGCCACCTTGACAACGTGGTGCCACCTGCAAACCTATTTATCTATCGATGCCGACCCAAATCCATCCTGACCGGACCGCGGAGGCTAGTCGAGAATTCAGCCCGACGTGCCCACGGCGTTGTTTTGTCGGTCGGCCGGTTTATCAAGCAAAGAGATGAGTCTTGTTGTGTGAACCCGAAATGTAGGTGAAACAACCTCTCCTCCTGGGTGCAGAAACGACGCGGCTGGTCACCCGAGCGAATCATTGCTCTCCTCCCAGTTGTTGTATACTGCGCTACACGTACGTCAATCAGAGCCTGTTTGCTTGCTGCGACGACGGTCGCAAGCGCTTTCCCTTCTCGATCGAAGCGGCCTTGACACAAACGCACGCGTTGCATACTTACCAAACCTTCTTTTTGTGACCAACTTCTGTATGCTGCGTACACACAAAACAAGCATAAGAAGTAATAAGTGCTGATTAAAAACAAACAAGACCCCGAAACAAACGTGTTTCGGGATTGGATTGGCATGACCCTTCCTGACATGCACGACCGCCGGGTGGGAGGTCGCGTCGTGCGGAGCACAACTAAAAGCATGCAACAACGAAACAATAAAAAACGTATCCCCCCTCCCCTCCCCCCTGCCCAAGAATACATGACGAGCAACTATCCTCCAACCACACAAAAGCGATACTTTACGTGTGCCTCCTTTTTTCGTGAGACCATCGACGGCCGTAAGGAACGAAGGAGAAACTGTGCACAAGTTTACGCGTCGAAAATTTCAAGCTTGCAATACATGCAGACACCGAGCCCGAACCTACATGCGGGGATGACCGTCCCATTCGGAAACCGACACGAACGCCTTCACCGCCGTCATCACATACTTGGACGACCATGCGTGAAAAATACAGCAACGACATCAGAGGGACGTCCGCTTACTTCAGATTCACCCCATGGCAACGAAACGACACATACAAATCAGCGTAAGCTACTTCTACGAGCAGAAAAGTTGCTCTCTATCCCACAAAGAAACACGGAAAACACGAGACACTGAAAACAACTTCCGAAAACAAAAGTTGCTGACACGTAAGAATACACCATGATGCCCCCTTTTTCGCTCGGCCTTTTCTCTGTCACGGGTTTTTTCTCGCCGTAGGTGCGCACAGGGGCAGGCTGCGGGGAGGGGGCGGGTATCGACAAATAAATGCTGTCTTGTATTGCCGGCTCCCATGAATAGGCCCTCCCACGAGTTGACGGCAGCCCTGTTGATCATCATACTCACATCGCACCCGCACGCTCATGCATGCAACGAAGAGGAGCCTGGTGGCGGTGGCCGTGCTTCCATTCGCCGTCCCCCAGGCCGCTCAGCAACGCACCGGCTTCCACCAATCTCGCGATGGAAGGCAGCGGTCCGCTGCCGCTGTGCCGCCTGCTCTCCCCCCCTCCTCTTCCTCCTCCTCCACCTCCTCCTCCTCCTCCTCCTCCTCCTCCTCCTCCTGCTCTCCCATCTCCGTACCCGCCCCCGGCGGCGGAGCTTCCGTACACGCTGTCAACGCTGCTGCACCCGGCAACGTTCGTCCCGACCTGGGGCGGCTCGCGCGAAGCCGAGTTCGTCGTCCACTCCATCTCTCTTCTCGAGACCATGCCACCGCCGCCCCCCGCCTCCGGGGGGGGGGTCCGTCGTCGAGAGGGGGGGTCCAAGGGGGCCCCGTGTCGAGCCGTGGTCTGGGTTTCCACGCCACCGCCGGTCGAGTGCTCCGGCGATGGAAGAGGGGTGAAGTGCGTCGGCGACGGCCAACGGCGGTGCTTGTTTTCGACTACCCTCGAGGTCGTGGCCGCCGCCCTCCCGCCCGCGGGGCCTCGCGACGACGGCCGCATCTGGAGCCGCTCGCCAGTCGCTGGGCTTTCGACGCCGCCGTTGGACGACGGCGGCGGCGGCGCGATCGCCCTGGCGTAACAAAGGGGCGGTAGCGGGGGCTCGACAGGGCACCTGACCAACCCTGACGGCTCGCGGAAGAACCCCATTTCCCCCCGGACCGCCTCGAAGCCCCTGCCCCTGACCCTGACCCTGCCGCTGCCGCTGCTGCCGCCGTCCACCCATCTACTCGAGTCTCCCCACTCTCTGGTACGGCGGTCCTCCATACCTCCCGCATCTCGCGCCCCCGCCTTCGCTCCGCCGAACCGGCGGCTTGCGCCGTCGCCGCCGTGATTCCGATAGCGGTGGTACTCCTGGTGCTGAAGCTGCTCCTCCTGCTGGCGTTGCCACTGCTGGCTTGCGCCCCGTCGCCCCCCAGCGGGGGCCATCGCCTCGGGGTTTGCCCACACGAGGCAGGAGTGGGGGGCTGGCGCCGCGCCTTGGCCTCCGGGCGCTACGGCGTGGGTCGGGTTGTAGGCCTTCGCTGGCGGGGCAGGCAGCAGCATCGTCTCCGAGTCGACCGATGCTCCCCTCGTCTCCTCGGCGTCGGGTATCCTCGAGGGGGAAGAAGCTCTCTCTGGCTCCGAGGAGTTGTCATCGCTCGTGAACGCAAGCTGGGTGGTCGGTTCACCGAGGTTCCGGGGTGGCGGCGGAGGGTGGGGGGGGGGGGGGGGGGGGGGGGAAAAAAAAAAAAAAGGGGGGGGGGGGAAAAATTTTTTTGGCCCGGAAAAGGAGAAAATTTTTTTTTTGGAAAGGGGGGAAAATTGGTTTTCTAAATTTTCTAAAAAAAACCCCCCCTTTTTTTTTAAGGGGTAGAAAAAAAAAAAATTTTGGGGGGGGGGCC